TGACATGCTACCTGTAAAGAAGGCCCTGCCTTGAGTCACGACTGCCTGGAACCACCCAAGAGACTGTCCTTAATCTTAGGAGGTGCATGCTGAAGATTCGAGGGTGAACAGAATGTGTGGGGTTGACCATTAAATGCTTCCTTGTCATATGTATTTATATAGATGGACAAATGAGGCAAAATCAGAACAATTGGTGAATCTAGGTGTTTTGGTTACTTCATGCTGCTCTAACAGAAATACCACAAATGGATGGTTTTAACAAACAGGAGCTTATTCTCTTACGGTTTGAGGCTAGGAGTCAGAGTTCAAAGTGCCAGGCTCTAGGGGCTGGGTGAAAGCCCTTCGATCTTGGCCTTCCACTCTGCCTCTTGCTCCTGCCCCACTGAAGCTGGAGGCTTTACTCACTCAGGCAGCTGCTGGCTGCTGAGGCTGACAAACCCAAAGTCAACAAGTAAAAAGGCACAGTCCCAACATTACCAAACCACGTGGCAGGCCACTGATTCAAGTCCATTAACAGTCCAAGACCAGCAGACAACATGACAGGCTGCTGAACAATGACTCGGCTACATGCAGGTTTCAAGCGTGCCAACAGCTGCCAAGATAATTTCCAAAGCTTTGCCTCATATACTGGAAGCAGACCACATCCCTGAAGCAGCTACTCAGTTCTGCATGCAGATTCCACCATGGAGTTAACTACCAGTCTCACCATAGGGAACAACTACATCCAGCTGCCCAGCCACTCAACCAGGCCCAGCCAAGTTGACACACAACTTTAACTACCACACCACATCAAGGGTTATTTGTGCTCATTTTACTGGAACTACAGATTTTCTTGAAACAAACCAGACTCACTGCCATCGAGTTGGATCCGAGTCATAGTGACCCCTCCTTGGGTTTCCAAGGCGATATCACTGCGGAAGTAGATTGCCCAATCTTCCTTCCAAGGAGTGGCTGTTGGGTTTGAACTGCCAGCCTTCTGGTTAGCAATCAAATGCCTTAGGGACTATTTAGAGACGTGCTTACTCTAAGCTTTTCTTTAGATAAGGAAAAAAAAAAAAAAACATGGAGGAGATGAATAATAGCAACTTTATGATATTCATACAATTACACCTGGGCAAGAGAGGTCCAGTGTCTTTTGGAACTCCTCTCTGGTCTTCCTCTTTTAGCTCCTGCTAAGGAGTTGAATCCACCTGAATCCCACCCCCACCCCCACCCCCAAGCTCTGGGAGCTGGGACCCCAGGATTCCCTGTCCAAATGGCCCTGAGTCCATTCCTGGGCCTTTGTGGGCCCTTTCCCCAGGTCTACCTTCTGGATGACCCAGGGAAGAAAGGAAGGGATAGGGGACAGGATCTGAAGGGTCACAAAGGAGACTTGGACTCTGTGATTTGTTAACTCTTTATAACAATGGTATGGATCGGATTGTGTCTTCGAAAAATATGCATTGTAAATTCTACTATACTTGTGAGTATAATCCCATTCGGGAATAGGATTTTTTTTATTATGTCAATGAGGTAGTATTAGCGTAGGATGTGTCTTAAATCAGGAGCTCTGGTGATGTGGTAGTTAAAGCATTTAGCTGCAATGCAAACCCAAAGGTTGGCAGTTCGAACCCACCAGGTGCTCCACAGGAGAAAGATGAGACAGTTTGCTTCCATAGAGATTGACAGCCTCGGAAACCCTATGGAGTGGTTCTACTCTAGGGTCTCTGAGTCAGAATCAAATCGATGGTGTGGGCTTGGCTTTGGTTTTTGAGATTTTAAAGAGCAGATTAAGCAAGCAGCAAGCAGGCACAAGCGGATGGAGAAGATACAATGCACATGATCGCCAAGGAATAGAAGCTGAAGAAGAAACAAGGACCTGGAGCAGAGAGAGAGAGAGAGAGAGAAGGCTTTCCCTTAGAGCCTGTGTCTTGAATTCAGACTTGCAGCCTCCTAACCTGTGAGAAAGTAAATTTCCGTTCATGTGTGTTGTTTCTGTTAGAGCAGCACTGGGTAAGTAAGACCGCCAATCTACCTGAAAGCATCGGAAATGGAAATGAAGTGAGTGGCTCATTCTGAGAGCGAGCAGTGTCTCCTTCTCACTCTGCAGTAAGAGCTGCCACTTAGCACCGATGCTTCAGGCATGGCTCTAAGGGAGCCGCCGAAAGCAGAGAAGGTCCCATTGTCATCTCAACTTTTCAGATGAGAAAACTACAGAAAAAAGAGGGTTAAATAGCTTGGTTGCCCAAAGTCACTGGACTGTAAAGTGTCTGTGAGGACTTTGAATGCAGTCTGCCTTCAAAGCCAGGGCTCTCGACACCACGCTAGCTCTCCTTTTCTGTGTTTATTTCATTAAAAAACCGAAAACATTGACTGAAATGAAAATACTCCAACAACTACAATACAAAGGAAGACACAGTGGAAGCCTATCAGGAGGTTGTTAGATGTGTTAGGAGCACAGATGGAAACTAAATTCCATGGGAAGGTGGGTGGTGGTGGTGGGTGGGGCAGGAGTCACGAAGGCGGTGGTGACATTGAACTGGGCCTTGCTGGTCAGTGGACAGAGCAGGAAATGCCAAGGAGAAGGAGCTTCCTGGGTATTAAGAGTATTAAGTAGTTCTGTTTGGTTCACTTGAGGGAACGGTTTGGTGAGGGATGTAGATTAGGACTTTGAATGGGAGGGTGAGAAGTGAGATTTGATTTGGACAGTGAGCCAAGCCATCAGAGGTGGACCCGGGGCTGACATTGTAAAAGGTTCTCAGAGGTGCAGCTGGAGGTGAGGAGGCTGCGAGGATCCCTAAGCACGCATCTGGTGGAGAGGCATTGGGGGCCAAATAAAGATGGTGGATGGGCACTAAGATAGGAGGGCACACATTGGAGGGGGTCAAGAAGCATCCTATTATTCCACAACCACTTACCAAGCGCCTGCTGTGCCCCAGGCCCTGTCTAAGGTCATGGTGGTGGCAGTGGTTGCTGTCAAGTCCATTCTGACGCATGATGACCCTGGTGTGCAGAGGGCAACTGCTCCGTAGATCACCAGGCCTCTCTTCCAAGGTGCCTCTGGGTGGGTTCAAGCCACCAACCTGTCAGCTGGTAGTCAAGCAATTAACTGGGCCAACCAGGGACTCTGCTGGTGATATGGACATGAACAAAACGAAACTTTCTGTCCTTAGGAAACTTGCATTCTAGTGAAGGGACACAGATAAGTAAAATGAACAAGATAAGGAAGAAAAATATATGATAGATGGATGAAAAATGAATTTTAGGAAATGATGATGTGTGCTTTGAGGACAAATGCAGCTGGGAAAGGGATGAGGGAGGATATCTTGTGTGTGGAGGGGGACACGTTGAGAGGTGTCAAGAGGAGCCCTCACTGCATAATATGTCAGTAAAGACAGTAAATGGCTGAGTTGTGGTTACACCAAAAGGAAGTGAGATAAGCTGGGCTGCGGGAGGACATGTTGGGTCTGGGGTCCCACTGGTCCCCCAGTTCACTAGTTAAAAATACGGACTAGAGCCTGGATTGTGAGACGTGTAGAAATAGAAGGCACTGCTAGTTAGGTGACAGCAGATGCATCTTGGAAGCAGCCCTGGTGACACAGTGGTTAAATCCTTGGCTGCTAACCTAAAGGTTAGCAGTTTGAACTGTTTCATGGGAGAAAGATGAGGCAGGCTGCTTCCATAAAGACCACAACCTTGGAAACCCTATTGGGGTAGTCCTATTTTGTCCTCTAGGGACACTGTGATTCAGAATCAACTCAAGGCCTTGGGTTTGGTCTTGGTTTTTTGTTGTTGTTAGATATGTTTTTGAGTCTCTGGGTGGTGTAAAAGGCTAATGCACCCATCTGCCAACTGAAAGGTGGGTGGTTCAAGTCCACCCAGAGGCACCTCAGAAGGAAGGCCTGGCAATTTATTTCCAAAAAAAAACAGCCACTGAAAACCCTACAAAGCATGGTTCTACCCTGGCCCTCACACAGGGCCACCATGAATAGGAATGGACTGGCAACTGGTCTGTTCAGATGTGTCTTCCTAGCTGAGACTAACGACAGAATAGAAACTATTACTCAGTGTGCTCCTACTGGGCGTCAGGCACACTACCAGATGTGTCCCACACAATGCCTGTAATCCTCAGGACGTCCCTGCAGAACTGATGCTATTAATCCAGCACCAAAGAGGAGTCGCAGTAATCATAGCTAACGCTTAAGAAGGGCATGCTGTGTCACTTTGTAGACATTGATTCATTCAATCCTCAGAGCTCCCCATGAAAAAGGTGTATTATTAGTCTCCTTTGACAGATGGGAAAATTGGGCCTCGGAGCTGAAGGGGCCAATGTCACAGGCCAGGAAGGTCTGAAGGGGCTCCAAGTCCAGCTAGTCTGGCCCCAGACTCCTTGAGCTCCAAGGAAGAAAGATCCACCTCTGTTCTACCACCTCCAGCAGCCTCTGCCCTCGGAGAAAAGCGAGCTAAGGGCAGAACTTGGGCAAATAACTTTTGGATGTGTGTCGGGGGTAGAAACGGGGAGAAGAGCTGAGGGGACAATCAGAAAGCACTTCAGAGAGGTAGCAGGCTGGGTCAGGGACACACACACTACCACCTGGAAGGGGACCACCTGGGCTTGGCGAGGGCGTCATAGCGCTGGCCCGGCATCCAGGGCATGGAGCAGTGGAGAGCGGCCTCCCGCCTCCGCGGCAAGAGGCCCCGGCCTCTGCGGATCGTCCGGAGAGAATAAAGAAGTTAATAACGAGTCAGACCAGCAAACCTCTGTGCCAGCGACTTTGGGCTGAGGCGGCTCAGGCTAAGGAAAGTTGTCTTGGCAAGGCTGGCCTTGAGATCCGGTTGAACTTGCAAGATTCTACGCAATGCGCTTAACCTCTGTGGTCTCCCAGCTACCATTTAATAATGCTGGAGAGTCCCTGAGATGTCGCGAAATCGAAATCCCGCGCTCGTAGTTCTCGCTGGGTAATCGGTCTAGAACAGGGACTGTGGGCTGACCCGGGAGGGTCCCCGTTCGCAGAGCAGGAATGCAGGCGCCGGGCGTGCGCACAGCATGCACTGGGACAGGCTGGGGTGGTCCCCGGGCCCGCTGCGCGCATGGGTCGCCCCCGGGGCCGCGCTTGGGCCCGCGGAGCGAGCAGGTCAGACGAGCACCGGGAGCAATGGGTGACCCTGGAACTCTCTTCTGGAACCCGATCAGGGCCGGCTGCCAGAGCAGGCTGCTGGCAGGCTCCGAATGGTGCCCAGTGCCAGGCCTAGCTGCGCCCGTCACTTGCAGTCTGGGGCGCGGCTCCTGGCGCGCCGGGGGCCCCCGCGATCGGGGGAGGCCGGGCGGGCGGGGGCGCGCGGCCGGG